CCAGGGAACAAGGGACAGGAGGAGAGGGAACGGCCTCCAGCTGTGCCAGGGGAGGCTCAGGTTGGACAGGAGGAAGAATTTTTTCACTGAAGGGGTGGTTAGACATTGAAAAGGGCTGCCCAAGGAGGTGGTGGAGTCCCCATCCTTGGAGCTGTTCAAGAAACGACTGGATGTGGCAATCAGTGCCAGGGTTTAGTTTACAGGGTAGGGATTGGTCACAGATTGGACTTGATGATCTCAGAGGTCTCTTTCAAACGAATTGATTCTGTGATTCAAAGTGCACTGCCCTGCACCGTGCTCAGTGTGCCTCACGCTGGCAGAGAGCTGGAAGCGTCGGTGCTGTGCCCACACTGGAGGAGATTGGGAACAGCCCTGTCCCCTCCAGTGCCAGCGGAGCTCCGTGGGTGATGCCTGGGGGCACCACGGCTGCCCCAAACACCTTCTTGGGGAGGAGCATTTCCCACCCCACTTGAGGCAGCAGAGCTGCACTGACATCACCCGTCCAAAACCAGCAGGTTTGCCCAAGTGCCACCTCCCTCCCACCCTGTCTTTGGGAGCCAGGATTTTGGCATTTGGCAGCCAGGACATGGAGCTGCTGGAGCGAGTCCAGAGAAGGCACCAAGAGGATCCCAGGGCTGGAGCAGCTCTGCTGGGAGGAAAGGCTGGGAGAGCTGGGATTGTTCAGCCTGGAGAAGGGAAGGCTTTGGGGTACCTGACTGTGGCCTTCCAGGACCTGAAGGAGCCGACAAAAAAGATGGAGAGAGACTGTTTCCAAGGGCCTGGAGTGACAGGACAAGGGGAACAGCCTTCGAGCTGACAGAGAGTAGGGTTAGATGGGATATTGAAAGGAAATTCTTGGCTGTGAGGGTGGGGAGGCCCTAGCACAGGTTGCCCAGAGAAGCTGTGGCTGCCCCTCAATCCCTGGAAGTGTCCAAGGCCAGGTTGGACGGGGCTTGGAGCAACCTGGGCTAGTGGAAGGTGTCCCTGCCCTTGGAGGGGGGAGAAACTGGATGATCTTTAAGGTCCCTTCCAACCCAAACCATTCTCTGATTTATCTTTTTTCCTTCTCAGAGTTGTTTCTCGCCCCTGCCCAGCATGAATTCTGATGTGAACAGCAATGGCTGCACTTGTGTTATATTTTAAATCCAACCTGTTCTTTCCTTATTCCATTCCCCACCTGTGGTCCCTTGAAATGCATTTTTAGAACCTTTGAAGTAAAATATTTTTACATATCATTCTCTTAACCCAACCAACCAGTAGCAGCACACAAATACAAGGGAGTAACTTTCAAGAAACACATTTTGTTCTCTTCCTGTTGTATTTTGAATGGGATGGTGCTCCATCATGGATGTATTCCTTAGTGCTGGATGCACATCTGCATCAGCTCTCACTCCAGTCCTTGAGTTGGAGAACTTGATGTCACACAAGACAGTCAGTTACAATTAATTAAGCATTGGGTAATTGATGTTAGAGAGATCCACAGGATCACAACATCAGAGACCCAAAACACATGAAAATTTGGTGCTTTGTAAAAGCAGCTGAGAGAGGTTATTTTGGAGTATTTACCTGCAAGTTTATTCCTCACTTTACTGGTGGGTTTGACTTGTCTAATCCAGAGAGTAAATAACGTCATGGAGCTATGTCATGTTACTACTGAATCAAACCAAAAATAAGGCCACTGGAAGGGGATGTTGGAAAAGAAAAGTGGCATAAATTTACAGTTTTGAAATATCCAAGAACTTGAAGCCAAAGCCAGCTGTGCTCTGTGCAGGAAACTTGTGGTGGAACTGGAGCAGGAGCATGTTGTGGCCCAATATTTTATATATATCTATCTATATATATAAAAGCTATAGGTAAATTAAACATTGCCTAAATACTGAAGAGGTAAAACTGGTAAAATTCTTTTTGAAAGGAAAGCCTTGATTAAGAAAATGAGTAAGAAGTGAAACTCAAGTGTTTGGTTTTTTTTTTAAATAACTGTATGAGGATTTGACAAAGGCACCGAAAATGTACAGGAAGCAGCTGCTGTGCTTGCAGGTGTTACTTAAGAGCACAAACAAATTCTGGGGCAAGGGGGAAAAAAAGAAACAAAGAAGAAACGTTCCTGTTTGATCTTGGCTCCTCCCAGGACAAGGTGACAGTTGTCTGACTGGCACCTGATGCCTACTAATTATTGACTTTTTTTTTTTTTAAGGTAACAGCAGCAGCACAAGGCTCTCAGCTTTCAAATTCAGATTAACACTGCATTTTTCCACTCCCAGCTCTTAAAAATTACATTTTTAACACTATTAAAACACAGTTAAAAATCCAAACCACACCACTTATATTGTGAGTTGTCCCAGTCAATGCAGGAGCTACAGAAACTTTCATAATCAAGATTTATTTGGCTTTTGTTTGAAGATCACAAACACTATCAACAATTTTACAATTGTTTTTATTCACATAGGTTTTTTTAAGTCTAAAAACTAATTGTTTTCTTTTTTTTCCCTAGGACTATTTCAAATATTTTTTTCACTTGAGCTTTGTAGACAAGCTGTCCTTTAAAACTAGAGGTGAAGTTCCAGTATCTCAAATATTGACATAACGAGTTCCATCTGCCAAGCAGAAACTTTTCCTCAGCCAGTATTTAAAGATATAAAATAAAAAGTTTCCCATCTTTCTCATCACAGCTACAAAGTTGTTGGGGAAAAAAATAAAGCTGCAACTACCAAAAATAACTTTGTCACAGATATACATCACTCAGCAAGAAATCCAACACTAGGGAGCAGTTTTATTAGATAAGGAATTCTACTGATGGTACAACCATAAAGATAAATAACTAAAATGTTAAGACCTCCTCAACACATCATTATGAATTCCAAAGTCTCATCTGTGTTATGCTTCATTTAATAGGATAGAAAACTGTCCCTCACAGGCTGTGGAACGTGAAGCCCAATCAAGGCTTCAGAGCCCTCTCCTTAATTAACATGCTGTTAATTTCTGGTTTCATAGAAAACAGACAACCAGTACATGACTTTACCACTTAAAAAAAGCATTTACACTTATCTAAATATGTAAAAAAATGGGTTGAGTCGGGACTCTCTCCTTTTTTTTTTTTTAAAAACGTGTCTTCTAGAACTACTAAAAAACTCGCATTTACAAAATAGTCGATAAAAATATTCCTCTGAATTGTACAAGAAGAAAGGTTTAAAGACCCCCAGTTACAGATGGGGGTGTTACTCAGACTTCACTTCTTTCTCTGCAGCTGCATCGGGTGCTGGGGTCTGAAAGGAGACAAAAGACCAGGACACTTCAGTGCAGGAAGTTTTTAAGTGGCTCAGACTGTTAGTTTGGGGTGGTTTTAATGCACAAAGTGACACAGAGAACAACCCTGACTTGTTTCTGCAGATGGTGCTTCACAAATTGGTGCCATGAGCTTACTCCTCTCGGATCAGGACCTACTGAACTGAGCTGTCTAGAAAAGGCTCCTTGGATCCATCAGTATGAATTTCAGGATGTTGATATTGTTCCTAAAAACACACACTGCAAAGTATTTTAATTTTAACTTGAATTACTGCCTTAATGACAGGAGGAGCTTTAGCTTTTACTCGGCTAAAAATCCCCACGTACGGGGTGTTGAGAAAATTAGAGACACACCTCATGCATTCAATTTTCAGCATATCCTCAAATCTTACCCTGTTTTACAGGTAACATC